CGAGGAGAGATCTGAGGAATGTGTGAGGTGTAAATGTAAGGAAATATGAGTGTGTTTACGTACAGGGAGTGTCACCGACCCGACCTCATTAGGACAGGGCAGCACAAGTGTGTTCAAATGACTGTGAGTGTACCAGGGTACAAAAGCCAGCAGGACTAATCTGTCATATCACATGACAAGGTAAATGCTTAAGTTTCATTAAATAGAGAAAAGGTTAACATATTTGTGTGCAGGAAGACAGTATCTGCAAAAGTAAACATAGTTCAGGTACCAACATGGAATGGAACAGTAAAATAGAGTAGATTAAAATCAAGTAGAATTTAGTTGAATAGAATAGAAAATGTATTATTACCAAAAATGCAACAAAGTACAGTGCAGTATTTCCTTTGGGTCAACACAAAAACAAAAACTGCTACTACTACAAATACAAACAGCTACAAATACTACTACAATACTACAAATATTACAAATAGTAATATTATACTACTACACTAAAGCAATACACATTATTATATAATATATATCTTATATATACACATATATGTGGAGATCTAAAAACATAAAACTGGAGAATGAGCTCAACTACATATTAGCCCACTCTATTCTATTCTATACTATCTTATTCTATTCTATTCCTTGCCCCCACCCTACATTTAACTTAAATCATATGAAGGTTGGTGAGATATTAGTCCACCTAACAAAGCCCACAGAGCAGACTGGGTGGGGTGACATGATAAGTGCACAAACACTGATAAAGAGCAGACAATGTGGACCATCCTCACAACCACAAGCTGGTTTATTTCCCGACAGACGTTGGCCTCTGAATGCTCAGTGTAACGCTTTGTTTAGTCTTCAAGTGAGAGAACCATCTGCTGACTAACATCCGACTGCATGTGCTCTCGCTGTGGTCAGAGTGACTACAATAAGGTCAGAAATGTAAAAAGTAGATACTTAAATCAAATACTTTCAATAAAGAGATGGCACATTTTATAAAAACAAATCACAAGGAACTGTTTTTCTAGTACTGTGGTTATTACTGAAGTGAGACTAGGACCCACAGAGTGGACAATGTAGGGCCAATATCATACAATACCTCAGGGCGCAACATGTGACTGACTGTTGACGCAGAGCAAGTCCGCCTCCCTGACTTCATGGTTCACTTGTACTTGTCTATTTTTTTATTTGAGCATGAGTTTGAATGTCACTCTGTAGCTGAAATATTAAACCAACTGTTGATATTTGTAGAAAACGTACCTGTAAATATACAGTACAGCTTTATTTATAACAGCGGTCTCCGGACCTGTGTGCAGTGCCTACTTTTGTATATATATATATATATATACACACACATACATATATATATACATACATATATACATATATATATATATACACATAAACACATATATATATACACACACACATATATATATATATATATATACATACATACACATATATATGTACATATATGTAAATGTATATACATATATATAACATATATACATCTGTATGTTACTTCGATGAGTTGAAATAAACATCCTTTAAGTCACTGTTGAAGAATAAACTTCTATCGTTCGGTGTAAAATCCATTTAAATACAAAAGTTGTTTTTCATGTTTATGGTTAAACAAATATCTTTATCATCTTCTAATTGAGTCTTAGGGAAACTGCAGGAAGTCTGAACCCAAGTCCAAACATGTTGTGTTTAATCAAGTGACTATTTATTAGCGGTACATTTGTACCATTTTACCACCGTCTTCACCTTATGTCACTTTTTCCTGTGTTTTGTTTCCACCATTATTTGCAACAGTGTCATTAAAATTGCATCACATCTAATAAGGTCACTTCATAGTCCATCTTAAGGGTCACACCATGTGGTCTAGAACACACACACACACACACACACACACAGTGGAGCAGAAATGTCAGCAGTATTGATGCCTGTCTCCATTGCCATTACATTAGACCTGAACGTATCTCCTCAAACATCACAGGTTCAGATCATGAACTGAGCGAGAAGTGAGTTATATAAAGAACTGTCTAAAGAAATCTGTGTATGCACATACTGACACTGTTGGAGGCCATTACTATGGTAACTGATGCTAAGAGGTGGGTGGCAAGAACTTGAGAAGTAAGCAGGGAGTCAGGTCAGTGACTGGCAGGGGGTCTAGTAGGCAATGAAGCCTGTACTTCAGCATGTCAACACAGTCCATCACTGAAACACCAGGGGGGGTGTACAGAGTGTACACTCCCAGCTGGAGGTTGACGAATTTAATAAAGTTCAATAAGACTTCTTAGAAACCTAATATTTGAGGTTACGTTTTTCTTCTTTGTTGGTCATGGTCAATAATCAGCTTTTGTGGCAGTCATATTTACATGAATAATAGTAAAGCTTAAAGAATACAGGGCTCACCACAGCAGTTAGTCCATTACTCATTATCACATTAAATACATAAATACAAATATTTGTTGATTTAACATTAAATAAGTCAACAACAACAATCATATCTACAAAATGAGGGTAAGAACCCAAGTTCAGTTGGACCCAGCTTAAGGACCCAACGGTGTAAACCATTTAATGGTGGGAGGGAATATATTTGTGTTGTTTTTTTAGGGGACTTTTTTTTTGCCCTCCCAGGCTTAAGTCAGACTCTTCTGATTTGTTTATGTCCTAGATCAGTGTTTCCCAAACTTTTTTCTGGGGACCCATATTTTAAAAGTCACAAACCTTTGTGTCCCAAGTCAATAGACATTATTCATAAACTCCTGGGAAACATGATGCGACACAAGCCCACCTGAGGGCCATGACCCAGTCTTTGGGAAACAAAGTCCTAGATTATGATGTTATTACTGTATTAGTGTAGGTGACTGACATAGGCACTAATGCACAGTATGTGTGTTCTGACTTATGTCCAAAATCAGGTTACATCAACAAGTCTAGGACCCCCTGTATATGTTTTAAGGTATTGCGTTTTGTGTGTTTGTATGTATTTGACCTATTTCCTGTGATCCTCTTCTCACAACAACAATAAAACAAAGAACAAACAGTGACTGTTTCATGCAGAGTCATTCATTAAGCTGCAAGATGCTCAGCGTCGAGATTATACCAAGAGCAAAAGTGTTTTACTGCGAGCTGTTTGCATGAGATCCATTTGAATGCTATTCATATCACCGTCCAGGTCTGGTCTTCTCCACAAGACTGTAGACTGCATCCCCAGACTTCATCAATCTCATACACCAGAGTCTGTCTTGTCACATGGTTTACCACTGGGACATTTTTCTGAAATTTCAGACAGCTGTTCATGGGACAGCGTAGATCCTAGAGAGATGTTTTTTTTAGAGCAGCTAAACCACGCACAGCTTTGTTAAAGGCTAGAAAAAACTCCAAACCTTAAGATGTACTCTTAAATGTAAGGAATAAAACAAGAATATTTAAAAGACTGTTCACGTACTAGACAAACAAGTGAATATTTCTGAACTCCTCGTCTCATTTTTGTTAAGCAACCATTCTGGTGACTAAATACAAACACTGTACGCAATCATCGACTGTTGTACAGTATACGTCATTATCTGATCTGCATACCTGCCTGGACATTGCCCAAACTCATGCAGCAGGTAATTGGAAAGGCATATTGAACACTGCTGAAATGGAAATGGAGAGACAATGGAAGCAATTTTGGCAGAAAATCACAGAAAAGTGGTGGAAAATGAAAAGAAACCAAAATTACAGTTTTGAACACAGGCAACCTCATGGGAGAACTTTGAGAACTTTGATGATGTTGATGAAATTCTGAGGGTATTTTTTCTGTGATGTATTTATGAACAATCAGATCTATAATTCACATACTTCACCTTAAATCAGTTGGAGATAAACTATATACTATGTGTGTGTGTGTGTTCTCATAACACCTTGGGTGTAAATCTTTGCACTGCCAAGTTGTCAACCACCATCGTTTATGTGTTGTTGTGTTGCTGTGTGCCTGTGTGTGGGCACTGCAGCTTGTTGCCAAAATTTCCACCTTGCCAGCCACACCTACTGAGATGAGCCACAGAGGTATTTCATGGCCAAAGGTCACTGGGAACTGGGCAAAACCAACAACCAACAATCCACAGCATCTTTAAAATCGGACTGATCCAAACAGCAGCTGCACAGACATAACAAATATTAAGGACACAGCTCTTTAAACAGCCAAACATCATGAACAGCGACGCCACCTCACCAGTAAACACAAGATTTGGCTCTTGGCCGTGGAGCACAACAGACACAGCAAGTGTGTCTACCGTCTGTGACCTTGAGACAAGACGCCTGAGAAAGGAAAAACATATCTCTGTGGGAGATGGTGTCACAGTGTGTGTGTTCCCACAGAAGATGGAGTGAGCAGAATACTGTGTTGTGTTAGGGAGGCAAGAGGAAGAGCAGTGGAGGAAAAAGGAGATGTGAAAAAGGGAAGTGTACAATATCACCTAATCACAAACTTGTGTATGTCATCGGATTTTAAATCGGAGACAGAACTCCTTTTTAGCCATTTTAAACACATTTCCATATTCCCTGAATAAACAAAAGGAACAAACCAATTTTTGCATCTGTCCAGAATGTCAACAGGGCCGAAGACAACAATAATGAATTTGTTATTTTCAAAGATTCTAGTTTCCTTGTGTGTATACGTACTAAACTAAATTAATTTCACTCATCACTATGTTTTGTTTTTTTCCATCACGTGAACCTCTGCAGATACAAATAAGTATAAATAGTATCTACTAAAAGTTTTTTGAGTTGTTGTTTGTTCAAAAATATCTTAGGCTTTTGTTATGATCATTACCTTTTTGCTAATAATTTTAATAATTATCAAAATGGGGCTCAAAAACAAATCTTAATTATTGAGGCAGTCGTCTGGACTGTTCTGCACAAACACCTGTTTCCCACAGGTAAAGCTCTTACACCAGACACCCAGGGACAGGTGCTTATTAAATGACAACATAGTGTATATATTTTTTTACCTTTCTTAAACTCCTCCAGCATGGAGTCCAGCTTGGTATCATGGAAGACAAAGTGGACAGGGTGGTTGTAGAACTTGGTGATGGTCTTCAGGGTGGTGCAGTCATCAGGGTCAACGAAAGCCAGGTCTTTGACAAACAGGACGTCTACGATGTTGGAGCGCTCTGCCTCATAAACCGGTATCCTGGTGTAGCCACTCTCCATGATCTCGGACATTGTGTTGAAGTCCAGGACAGCACTGCTGTGGATCATGAAACAGTTGTTGAGCGGCGTCATGACGTCCTCCACCGTTTTAGTTCTGAGCTCCAGAGCACCTTGGATCATGTTGAGCTCTTCTTTCACCAGGTCGTTGTAGGGCTCGGTGACCTTCAGCATCTCCACCAGCTTCTCTCTGTTATACACGGTGCCAATCTCCTGACCCAGAACGCAGTCCAGGATCTTGCTAATTGGCCACGACAGTGGGAAAGTTAGAAGCATAAACAACTTGGTGACTAGGATGGTGTTTGCCCCGACTGCTAAGCCGTGCCGAGAACACAGGGCCTGGGGGACAATCTCGCCAAAAATAACGATGCCAACGGTGGAAGCGGCCACAGCGCCGAAACCTGAGTTCGTGAGATCATCCAGGAGAATGGTCAGGGTGGTGTTGACCAGGACATTGCCGAGGAGCAGCGAGCAAAGCAAGTAGTTTCCCTTCCTGCGGATGGGCTCTATCTTCCGTGCGTACTTCTTCTCCTTCTCCGTGCCACAGCTCTGCACAATGCGCAGCTCCATCGGGTCCAGCGCCATCAGCCCCAGGTTTAGCCCGCTGAACATGCCTGACAGCACCAACAGGAATGAGATGAAGATCACCTGCAGCCAGATGGGCAGCAGAGACTTTTTCTCCTCCATCACTCGCAGTCTTCCGTGATTGCCATCAAGCATGTACCAATCTGTCTCCCGCGAGTCGCGCAAGCACAACCCGAACACCTTTACCACCTCACTCTTGCGGAGCTGCTTAATTCGGAGCTGGACCACTCCGGAGGTGGTTTCGCTGTTTAGCTCCATGGACGTCTTCACTTCTATATCCTTCGTGTCTTCAGGACATGTCCTGTTTAATGAGACCATAATAGAGCCGAATTCATCGTCCTCTTTATCACTGGAGTACAGTTCCATGAACCGGATGAGCTGAGAAGTGTTAGGAAACAAGTGGAGCCCGTAGAACCTGAAGAGGATGTCGCTGCCTTCGGTCACCTGTATCACTCCTCTTTCGGTGGTCCCAGCCGGCTTGTCGCTCTTTTCCAGCCTCATGCCCAGGATCCGGGTGACGCCTCTCGGCTCCGCAGCCATCTCCTCGGCTTGCGTACAGACAAAAACGTGACTTAAAGCGAATAAAGTTAGTATAAGCCCCCTTGCACTCCAGGGTATCGCCATATTTGTTTCGTTCTGATGACTTGTTCTTCTTCTGTTGGAGTTTTAACTGCAGCTGGTACCCTCAGTGTTCCATTACTGCCACCTTCCGGGTTTACTTTTCATGGACTTTTGCTGATTTACAGTGGACTTTTAACTGCAGCAGTGATTGAATATTAAATAGATAATTTCTACTTCTCTCGTGTACACACCTGCTAGTGTCTTTGAAGTTGTCCTGCGCTCCTCTACTCTGCTCTCGTGTACATTATCCTCCTTTCATTCCACTCTCTGTTAACAGGGGCAACCGACGTCACCGCCCACAAACCCGCCCACAATCAAGTTAAATACCTAGAGAAAACAGCCAACCAGCGATGAGAACGTCACTGACTATCTTTAACCGAGCCCCTTGTTATTCTTGCAATGATAGAATAGAAGGACATTGCTGTTGCGGAGGGAAAATATGGAGCTAAATGTATTTTCATAATTATCTATAAACGGTACAAATTTGAAAGCTAATTCCCGCCACCAACAAGTTAAATCATCGAGATAGGAGAGTCTAAATTATTTGAATCATATCGGTGAAGTCATGTTGTCTAAGTCATGAAACAGACGTAATTTATGTGGCAATAAATAAAGACATATTTATATACATTTATTGTTAATCACAATATGAAGGAGGTGAATAATAAGACAATACAGTCAAAGTATAAGATAAAAAAAGTCGAAAGTTTGAAATTATAATTTAAGCGTAAGTCACATTTTTAAGGAAGAATAAAACACAGGGCAACAAAATAAATTGACCATCCAACTATAGAATTACATGAAACAAAACTTTATTATTTATCAGCTGTTCATTCTTTTAGTTAACTGGGGATATACCGCCCTCTTGTGGTTATATTAGACTAACATATTACGTTCAAGTTGGTAAAAAAACTAATAGCTGTGGTAATAAGTTCATAGGTGGACAAAAGAAACACATTGAGTCTGAGAACTGAGTTTTGTTAAATGCAAAAAGAATACATATTTTTATTCGTCTTTGTTGTATTTCATATTTAATTATAAATGTCAAATACAGGTATTTTAAAATGTTGTACCGTAGTTGTCATATATCATTAAACTTATGCTTTATAGTTTTATATATTGTGTGGTTTATATATTGCAATATAGGTGGACTGTCCACGGTGTGTTTGGTTTGGCGTGATGCCTCCACGGATTGGCCCACGGGGGGCGCTAGGTTACATGACATTTCCACTGAAGTGGATACAGATGGAGGTTTTTAACACAGTATCACAACAAGCCTCAATTTTGCTGCTGTGTATTTTTTTTTAAATAATGCAACTCGTTGTCCAATTTAATCAAGTTAGGTGAGGTGGGTGGGGAGAAAAGGAAAGAAGGAATGAAAAAAGAAGAGGGAGGAGTACGAAAGAGGGAGGGCAGTAGAGTGGAGGAGAAGGAGGAGGCGGTGAGACGCCAGGAGGGAAACATTAGTCCTGGTTTTCTGCTCGTAGTAGAAACTTTTTTTGCGGGGTTTTCTTCGCCGGATTAAAGTCGGGTCGGTCAAAAGACACGCCTGCCTTCGCCTTTTAATACTGACCTTGGAGAGCCGGAGGGTCAAGGTGACGCCTGCAGGGGTGAGAGGGTGAGTGGAGGGGTTGACATAGACTCTTTTTGGGCGGGGAGGGGGGAGAAAGTGAAGAGATGATGAAGAAAATAGAGGGGGGCATACTGTTAAGAGAACGGGTAGCTGTAGAGAGTGGACGAGATTCGTCTCCTAATTCCCTTTCTTTCCCCGAGGGAGAAAGTAACGGAAAATGTGCAGCAACACAGCGGAACAATCTAGGGTCCAAAAGAGGAAACAAAAAGTTTCTCTTTAACTACTTCCTCTGTAAACGCACAAGAATAGTTGTTTTGTTTTGCTGTTATAGTTTCAATATAACTACTAGTTTTAGAATTACACTCTCGGTGATGATGGGTGTTGTGATAGAATCTGTTACCCTGTGTGTGTATATATACAGTTGAGTGATGTAAGCGGTTATTTCGATTCTATTTTATAGAAAAAAACCATTAGAGTCAAAGACAGTCAGCCACATCCAATTGATTATCACCTAAAGACTGTGAAGAGTTTTTTAATTATATATGTTTTTTAACTTTCCTTGGCAAAAATGTGAATTTATTTATTATTTTATACCCCATACAGTATGCATGTCGTCCCAGTAGGGTAGTCCTTCAGAGTGCACAGGTCCTACTCCTCCAACATGTTCGTTTTGAGGTTTCAGTCAACATAGAAGTAAAACAACAAACAAAACAAAAAAACGACCTGGTGAAAGAAAAAAAATGCTTCACTTAATCACAACAACAAGAAGACTGTCTGTAAAAGGGCTGTATGAGGTCATTTCTTAAATTTAATTAAAATCAGTACCTTTCACTTAGTAAACAAATTAATTTGATACTGGTCCTAACTAGTCCTGAGATGTTAAGCCAGAGTGGCAGCGTCTTTGTTGTAGATGAAGGATAATCAGCATCGAAGGTCAATCAAAATGTCAGAATGTTATCAGGTAAGATGAGAGGAGGAGTGGCCCTGTGACCTGAGAGGTCAGGTGAATAATTCAGAGGTTCGTTTGTTCAGGTCTCATAGATGCATCGTTTTGGGGAACTTGCACAAAGTACCGGTACTCTGCCTTTGTGACATAACCTGCATCTCACTTTCTCGCTCCTGCTTTGTTAATGGCCGTCCTTAGTAAGTAGAACAAAACATCCGCGTCACAAATTAGCTTATGCTAAATGTCTAAAAGTCAAGTTTCAGATGTGTTTTTTTTTTTCAATTTAATAGCAATTTTTAATACTACATCATAAATATAGGTGTAGTGAATTGAGTCATAAATTAATGCTGCTAGCCAACCTGCTAGTGGCAAACATTTTTGAAAAATAATGAAAATACACGTGAAACAAATAGAGCTAATAAATTATGAATCACTTGCAGCTAGCCAACCTGCTAAGAGGGACTATTTTAATAATAACAATAAAAAATGTAAAATAATATGTGAAACACAAAGAGCTAATAGTTTATATAATACTTGCTTCAGGCTAACTCGCTAATGCTAATATGAGTAGAATGTATGAAATAAAGACAGTGTTATCTGCAGAACTTTAGTGAAGCTCTTAGCAAAACGCTGCGTAGAGCTCAAAAGTTTTGGTTTACAGTTCATAAGTTCATGGAAAATCTGTTTGTTATTCAGTTTTGAGCTACATCTCGGTTTCGCACACATTTACTTCTGTAAATTATTATATCATATCGAGCAAAAAATAGGGAATAAAAAAGTAAAGACACAGCTAATGTGAGAGAGTAGCTTGTGATCGTGTAGTAGAAGTCAGTTGACAGGCATCAGCTGTATTGAGCAATAGAGAAAGTGTGGTTCTTCCCTAACAGTATATTTGTTATTTGTATATGAGGAAAAGCCCAGTACTGGTAGCAAACATATGAATTTAAAGGCAGAGAAAGCTTAATGTCAAAGGACAAAAACAATAGAATATTAACAATGAAACTGTTGAACTCTCACACGCTGGCTTTTGACACCGGGGTTTATTTTGGCTAAGTTAAATCATATCTACTCGAAAGCCTTCCTCATGTGGAACATGCGGTATCGGCCATTTTTCTGTTATTCGGTTCGTTGTTGTATTTCCCCTGTTTCCTTCTTTTGTATGAGGATATTAATTGTTTTGGCTGGCGATCTGAAGAATTCAGTAGCAACATAGGATGCAGTGGAGATAAAGCTAAAATTAGTCTTCTTTACTCTGGGATTTTTTTCTGTTTATTTTGTTTCATAGTTTTTGAGCGTTAGCTCATTAATGCTTTAATTGTTTGATTACTACAATAACATTCATTCCCGCCTTTGAGTTTTAAATAAGTCTCTATTCTTAGACCCTGGACTGATAGACAAGTACCTGTTGACAGAGCTATGGCAGAGCCAATAGGCCTGTAAGCTGTGGAATGTTCCTTTTAACATCTGCAAGGTTTAGGAAAACAGTTCAAAGACTGTGGATACAATTTACATATATATATGTATTTATTTTAATTTAATTATTTTGTTTAAACCTCGTTAAATTGTTGATGTTAAAGAGAGAACCTGAGCAGAGCAGTGCTGTACACCTCCAATATTGTTGTTTGAGCTTAGTTAAAACTAGGGACGGCTCGATCCGATACTCAGGATTGGTATTGGTGGTCAAAATTTCAGGATAGAACATCAAAAAAAAAAACCCCAACTATAGCTAGTTCCGATCCGATACCTAAGCCTAAATTATCAACGGGGACACTATTGGACACTATCGAAGGAAGGTATCGGATTGACATTGGTTTTGGCAGATTCTCTGTGTATTTTTTTAACCTGGTGACAGTAAGATATTTACACAGTTATTCAAGTGAATTGTTCACATGAGTTTTAAAAGGAACCAATTCCAAAAGAAAGGACTCTTGTCCATTTAAAGTACATTTACACTCACGTCCACATACTAACACATCCCTTTTAGCCTTTTAGCTACAAAGGTGCAGTCAGTCCTGATAATGGTGCAGTGTTCAGTAGTGAAACAAGAGATCACCGATCAGACAAGACACCCATTCATCTGTGTGACCTCTGACCTCTCAGGCTGGTCACAGGTGACTGTGACACTGGGGTACTGTTACCCACCTTTGTTTGCTTGCAATAACATTATTGGCAGTGTTTGGGTGAGTGTGCGTTCCCGTGAGCGCGCAGGTCTGTGTGCGTGTGCACGCGTGTGTGTGTTAATGGAGAATAGGAAGGCATTAAACGGGGTCAATAGTTTTTTCATTACTGAATACAGTTAAGGTAGTGAGTTTTTGACCTTCCTTAACAGAAATACCACTGGTGCTCAATGGAGCGGAGGTGTAGTTTAATTCCAAAGGTCACTTTCGCGGTGCTTTTGTTTTTTCTTTTTCAGAAAATACCCTTCACACACACACACACACTCATCTTGGACATCAGTCATAACTTTTACTACTTTGGGTTTAAATCTTGGAGTTTGGATAAATACCCTCGCTTTAGCAGCTACAGTTGTTAGCTTTTATCCACCTACCCCACCCCTCCACCGGGTACTGCAATTGGCAGACGCTACGCTAAAGAGCAGCAGAACCAGTCTGAAGTGTCAGACAGTTAAATGATTATTGAATATTAACAAAGTTCAAACATAATGCATTCTGTTGCCCCCATTAACGGTAAGATGGGGCAAATGTATAATCCAGCTGGAAACGTTGCTGTCCTCGTTAAATTATCATTAATCTATAGACAGGACCAACATAGAAATATATCGCCTGATGTACTCATTGCTGGACATAGTTATTTTATTTAAAAATATTGAAATTGTGTCAAATGTTGCTATGAACGTAAATCTAAATCACAAATAATCCAATTTTTTTTTTTACGTTTTTGTGATGCGTTGCGTGTCGTTGAGCTATTGCTGGTTAAGCATTGGTAAATCATCAAGGGAAAAACAGTGTGCCTGAATCCACCAGAGCAGCAATGTGAATAAATTGGTTGTTTGCATACAGGTTTGGCATTTACAAGCAGTGTGTGAATAGTATCTGTGTACTGTGGTGTAATGTTTTCAAGTGTGTCTGCGTACATATACCTTTTCTTTTACCTTCAAAAACCTTCTCAATCCTCAGGTCTCAGTTGACACTTTTTTTTAAATTTAGTTCAGAAAACAACCATCTTCAAATGGTGTCATGTTTATGCAGATATTCAAATTTTACTTCAGTTTTAATCTCAAAACCGATCTAAATTCTTTAGGTGTTCTGAACTATGTTTGTTCCATAAAATATTTAAAACCGTTTCACATAGTTGGAGCAGCAGATGGACAGTCTGGTGCCATCCTTCTCCTCCCAGCTGAGGAACGTGGCCAAGTCATGGTGCACATCGCTCAGCTGCAAATAATTTTTCATGCATTCATTTCTGATTTTGTCTGTTGTTGCTCAAAGGCTGTTGACCCATGTAACTTTGGATTTAAGTTAAGTTTACCAAGTGACTTCAACTGGCAGAATTCATTCAGAATTCATTCAGCTAATGTTCCACTAAATCGTGGCTCAGACTGGTAGAAGTTATCAATTTTTGAAGGTTTGTACTTTTACCCTTAAAGTACCTTTTATTGGTATTTGTAAAATAACTACTTTTTTTCTTAATTTCAAATTTTTCGAATACACGTGTATGATTGACTAATTTCACCTTTAAAACATGATTCGTATATATTTGTTTTGTTTGCATTATTAAAACAATTCATGAACATTTTCTTTGCACACGGGTCTTTGCTTGGTACGTGTCTGGCCACCTTTTTTTTCAGCTTTTCCTGTTATAACTTGTATTCTTTGCCAAACACATGTGGTGGATATTTATAGCTCCAAGTTTAGGGCTGGCGTCACCACTGTGGGGCAGGCTTTCCAAAAAACCACCTCTGCATGTGTTAAACAACACATACCTTCTGTGACCCCACCCTCAGCACCACATTGGCACGTCATTTATTTATTTCCTAAATGGATCCCTTCTGTTTATTATTAGTTGTATTTTCTGAATTTCTCTTTTAAACACTTGTACAGCAATACAGCAAATTGGGAGGAGGTATGAAACTTTACATTCAATGATGACAGATACATGCATGTGAAGAAAAAGTTGCGTAATCTCGCTTTTTCTGGGAAATTGCTAACAGAACTAGCGTGATTTCCTGACATTATTGGGTGAATTTACAGTTAACCCCTGTGACTAATTGGCTGAGGAGAATCACAGGAGCAGATAGGTCAACAATAACTGATTGTACAAATGTGAATGAATACAGGGTTTGTGCCGAGTGGAGGAGACTCCCTCTGACTCATGCTGCCTTACATGGGAAAGACATTAGGATTCTGGGTGGTTGATGTAAACCTGGAGTAGGGGAGCAAGGCTCACTGTGATTAATGGAGTGGTGAAGAGTGGAGTCAGACAGAAGGAAACGGACGTTAAAGGCCTGAAATTGATTTTATCAACACGACCAAAGACTTACTTAAGAAAACTGTTGGAGTCTAGAATATCAACATCCAGACATTGTTTTCTGCCTGGAATAAAATGGATGAGGAAAGTCAAGGTTTCACCTTAAGGCAGTGTTGTCAAACTCATCTTTTTTTTAATTCTTAAAATTCATCATGCGGGCCGGATTGAAACCCCATGCGGGCTAGTTTTGGCCCACGCCCCGTATGTTTGAATTTATTTGCTTTTTTTTTCATAAGGTTAATGTAAAAAAAAAAAAAAACTCAAGAGGATTTTGATCAATATAGTCACAATGCTAATTAAATTAAATGTAAAACACTGTGTTTCCCCCCCCCAAATAAACTTCGGTGTGAAAGAGCAGGCAGTCTGTCACACACATGTTGAAGTTAGTTGTTAGTTATTAGTTAGTTATTATTGACTAATTTGATGTCCTTCAGCAAATGTTTGGTCAAATGATTTAATTTAGTTTTCTGTGTTTCCATCTGTTCCTTTAAAAACAGGACACCAATGACTGTTTACATTTCATGGTCCTAGTGTTATACCCTCAGACACTTGTTTTAAAGTGAAAAGAGAAAAGGTTCAGAGTTGGTTCTTTTTGTGCCGTCAATAATGTGGAAATGAATAGTGTTTGTGGTTTTTATGTGTCAGCGGTGAGTATTTGGACATTTCAGTAATGTTTCCATTTTTATGTTTTAAGTGACAATTATGTTTTATGTTTATGTTTATGTTTATGTTTTATGTTTATGTTTATGTTTATGCCTAAGTGACAATTATGTTGTTATGTTTTAAGTGAAATTTCCATTGAACTAGAGTAACAGAGTAGAGTTTTATTTTACCTTTTAGACATTCACATTTTATGTAATTCTCCTTTTTTTTAGATTAGTTTTAACTTGCCATGTGGCTGTGAGTGATTACTCATAAAGCTGCTTGTAATCATGGAGTTATTCTGTAAATAAACAGAATCCTCCCAGCCTGGAGTAAGGTTCTTTTGTGTTTTATTTGCTCTGGCACTGATTTTAGACTTTTCAAGTTTTTTGTTTTTTTTCTAATCTCTCCACCTCCTCTCTCCTTCTCTTTACTCAGACACAGACAGCGATGATGGACAGATAGCAGGAGGAGAAAGAGAAAATGTCTTTCTTTGGCCTGGACTGTATCAAGAAGAAAGAGAGAGGTTTGTGCTGAGTTGGCAGATTCTGCTGTGTCCTATGTTCAGTCAGATGGCTGTGGAATTTTCACAGTGACAGGGAAATGCCTAAAAAATGGATTTTGCCTCTAGTAGCGTTTGCATTAAACAGAACAGTAGGCCAGGCCTATAGATAAATATAAGTTGGTTTACAAGATAGTCTATGTACCTGGTAGAGTTAAATAAACCTGTAGAACAGACGATCGTAATCATCAATTATTGAACATTTTTACCAACCATTTAACCAACAATCAGATAATAATACCTTTTCATTAATTAAATACTAAATAAATAAATAATAAAACAGCAAATCCATAAAAGGGAAAAATATATGAAAGGGTGTCCTTTAGTTCATCGGAATTCCGTTCCTAAGGCACAACGTAACTTTATTTTTGACCACACATCTACGTCACTCACCTAGTGGTAACATCATAGTCTAGACCAGGGGTTTCAAACTTTTTTTCACCGGAGGCCACATCATCAATACAGTTCCCCTTGACAGGTTGGCTGTAAATGTAAGACTGTATAGATCAGGGTCCCCCAACCCCCGGTCCGCGGCCCAGTACCAATCCATAGGTCATTTGGTACCGGGCTACAGTGGGACAAGGTGGAAAAAAAGGAATGTACTCAATTTTTACTAATTTACTTAATTCGAAGAAAATCCAGTCATATCCATTTACTATCTTTATTTAAAGATACTCTGGTAATATTTTAAAATAACAGGTCAATCAGACTCTACTACTAACAGAATAGAGTCTAAAAGGTGTTTTATTTTTTCTTAAAAAAGCTCAGCACCTTGGTACTGGTCTGTAGTAACGGGTGGTACTGGCAGAGCAGTCCTTGGAACAAAAAAGTTTAGGGACCACTGGTATAGATGTAACTACTCCATAACAGACAGATACATGTTTCTACAATCACTAATTGTGAATATAAAATTTCTTTTAATTTCTCAGGTTAAGAAACTCTGCTACATGGACTTTACTAAATGCTTTTTAAGCTCCCGCGAGCCACACAAAACGGCTTGGTGGGCCACATTTGGCCCCCGGGCCTTAAGTTTGATACCTATGATTGAGAACACTTACACCTGGAAGACATAATGAAGGGCAACCTCCCCCCCCCCAAAAAAAACTACAAAAACGAAAGAAAATGATTGTGGCACAATCCACCACGTGATGACGTAGTCGTCCGCTTTGAACAAGAGCAAGTTGGTTTTAATGCCGTATGTTGGAATGACAATCAAGAGTTTCATAATAAATTTACTGTAGAGGGCGAAATAACCACGAAAAGCTTACAGGTCGAGGATGTTGGAGACTGAGGACCCCCTGTAGTATCAAGAAAATATTTTATAATTTTTATAGCACATCTGTGTAGTGACGAGCACCTGAACTGACCTCGCACACATCGCCTAAGTGAGGTGTTTCTGCTTCGTTGTTTCTGTTTAGAACTGGAGAGGAAACTGCGAGCCAACGACAGAGAGTACAACCGCTCGTTTAAATATGCAGTAAGTACTCATACTCTGTATGTGTTTCTTTTCAAAAAAGACATGTTGTGACTTCTTTTCCGCTCGCTCATATAAACAGTTAAATCTGTTCTGCTGCGTTATCTGCTTCTCAGAATAGAGGGAGTTTACAGAGAGCGCCGCCCACAGGCCTTTTAGACAAAACCGTTTACAACCACATTCCGTCTGTACACAAGTTTTCAAGCAGTACTGTCCCATGGGGTATATCCTGCTGCTGGAGCTGTTATCAGTAGACTGGACGTTAGCCAGGGCTGACCAGTTGAAATCACTCTTCTTAAGTTAACTCTTGTCCTTCCCCGGTTCATGCATCACTGAGCCGTTACCTTTTTCAGGGAGTTGAACCTGTGCGTGACCGACCTGTTATGGTTTAGCGAGCCCACAATGTGATGTTGGAATTGCCTCCATGAAACCAAGTGGCATCGTAAAAACCACTCAACGTGAACGGAGCACACAGCAGACGGAGAGCAGCAGGTATCAGACGTTCACAGCTGCGGAGGTCCGTTATCTGTACAGCGGGGGAGGTTATGATAGAGGGAGGTCACACCTTAAATGCATATTAAAAAGACAGTTTTTGCATTATTAGAATCTGGTTTTCTGCCAATGACAGAAATTTTGATTAGCGTATTTTACGGACCATAAGATTCACCGCATTATAACAACACAAAAACACAACTCAGAGTTTCCGGGTGTTTGGAGGCACGACGCGACGTTGTTGTTGAGCATCTTCTAATTGTGATAACAGATTTCAACATCATTGTTGGCTCTCTGTGTTTCAGTTGTGTGCAATAATGTGTGATGCCCTGTGTGGTTTGGCTTTTTGGGCAGTAAACGCAACCAAAAGTAAAATATAAGGCGCATAGTGCGGAAAATACTTTCAATGTATGTAGTCGCTACAAAAACATACCAAAATATTACATTTTAGTTTGTACTCCCTTAAATCAAATTGTAAAAAGTTCATATTTATTTTTATTTATTTATTCCAATAACCAGTGTGAATGAAAGTGTCTTGGTTAATACTTCAGTTTTTACCTTTGTTATAAATACAGTGGAACCTCGAGATAAAAAATTTGCCTCGAGATACAAGTAAAGATTTGAGATACGAGCACAATACAAACGCCAACGCTAGTTGGCCGAGCACTCGGAGCAGCTCATGCCGCTTCACTCGTTCACCTCACGTGTTCGTCGACTTCTGTACGCATACTTCCGTATTGTGTTTGCGTTGTCTACATGATTTTCTGTCTATTTTGTGAATTATTCTTCATCATAGTAATGAGTCTTAAGAGAGTGAGTGGTAAAGATGGTGGTGAGAAGAAGAAATGCATGATGACCATGGAAATAAAGCAGGAGATTGTCCATAAATATGAGCGTGGTGCCCGCTAAAGAAGGAATACAAATAATTTTTTTTTAAATACCTAAGTTAGGTTAATTCTAAGTTAAGTTCATCCTCCACACATTAGCCGCTACTGTATCGCCTGTCTTGAAGGTAGAAACTCATAATTAAACCACATTTTATTGTATATAACAGGAATCCTTATATACTTGATATTTTTTGTGTGTATGTCTCTATAGCAATTAAAAACATGTTTTTTCCATTGTTATTAGCACTAATAAGGCAGTTTTTTAGAGGGACGGAACAGAATAATTTGTTTTCTGTTCTTTCTTATGGGAAAAAATGATTAGAGATTCGAGCTCCTCGAGTTACGAGCTCAGTCCTGGAACGGATTATGCTCATATCTCGACGTTCCACTGTATTACTGTTTGGGTATTTGAACCTTGAGCTTTTGCAGTCAGTTGAACAGAAGACGACCAATCATAAGGTGAGGCGTCACAACGTTCAATCTCCTGATAAGGTCCAGCTGTGTCAATGCAAACTGTTCTCACTGTAGCTTACACTCCAAACGGTTCTTCTGTTTATATTCTGTGGTCAACTCAACCATTACAAACCATAGGTCCTACGATAATTCTATTTCTAACCCTAACTCTAATCTGATCCTGATTCCAAACTCAGTCTTGAACCGTAAAATACCCAACAAGGATAAGGTGTCTGCGCAACAAGTGTATTTGTATTTTGTGTTTTGTGAGCACTTCACATAATGAACCTTAACCAAATATAACCCTAACTCTGATCTGACTCCAAACTAGCATGAGCTTGATTACCTTCCACCCCCCACCCAACCTCCACCCCCTGTCCCACTCAACCTCTAAAATGTCCCCACAAGGACATGGTGTCCAAACACAACAAAGGTGTTTTTCCAAACAACGTCCCTCCAAGTAGCTACAGCAGGTATAAGCATAGGCATTAGCATTATCATATTGGCTAACTTCAAGATCTCTTTGTCAGTAGTTATTTCACTAGAGGGTTTTTTTCTGTCTATTTTTTATCCAAAAAAAGTTCACGAAATTAAATAGATACCTTTGGATTCAGATTTTATTTTGTTTTCTGTTTTGCTTTTGTATATATATTTTTCCTGTTTAAGTTGATTGATTAAATCAAAGGGGTTTCCAAAATAGAGCTACCCCCCACAGGGCCGGAACTATTTAGGAATATTTTCTTTATTTATGCCACAGATAGAAATCTCTACTTTTGTTTTTACTTTGTACATGAAGAATTATTTTTATTTTAAATTCAATATGGTGTCCTGACGTTCTATGTTGTCTCTGTCCCCCTGTTCTGTGTCCAACTGACATCACCACCAGACCAACGCCATCAAGACCTCAAAGTACAACTTCTTCACCTTCCTACCTCTCAATTTGTTTGAGCAATTCCAGAGGATTGCCAACGCCTACTTCCTTTTTCTGCTAGTGCTGCAGGTGAGAGGAACAACTGTACACACATTACATGCGAGTACTTAGAACGTGACAGTGAAAATGAGGCGTAGGATGTTTCTGTGGTGAACGAGGGGAAACCGTTGATAAAATGAGGAAGAGTTTTTTCTCACACCATGTTTGACCACAAAAAAACTTTTATTTCCTAGTCATTAGTATGAGGCAGACTTTAGGCTCTTACCGAAACTTTATCTTAGCAACGCAACAGGATATGACCGAATAGAGTTAAAAAAATTAAGGAAGTGGTTCAGGAAGTTGCTTGATTACGTGCGATTCATTCACGTTGCACAACCGCTGTGGCAGAAACTGTGCAGTGAAGCGCAGCAGCAGACATGTTCTTAATTTGGTATTTCTATGTCAAACCAGACTCAGGAGTTCCACACAGAACCAATAAATACACTAGGTGTTTATGAGGCCCAATTTTTATACTACAAATTGGCCCATTCAGTATTAGAGTTGTTGAAGTCGGGATTGTACCTACGAAAACTTCTGTCTTTTGGGCAGCTAGCGTAGAGAAGAAGACAGTCATCTCCTTTATATATCATTGCTTGTTAAAGAACTGACTGACTTGAACATTACTGTCACCATGTGGTAGAAAGCTGGGATTCTAACTTTTTTTTATATTTATATAATATTTATTTTTATGGATACCATATCTCTGGTGTCTTCAGTTGATAACCTATGCAGTCCCGCGACCCCAACAGGTAGCTTGGTAGGCCCAAGTTTGGGCTGCAACCCAATGGGTCGCGACCCTCAGGTGGGTTGCAAGAGTTGTTTTGGGGGGTCGTCTCGCATCATGTTTCCCAGGAGTTTACAAATAATTTCTATTGAGTTGGGTCACGAAGGTTTGTGACTTTTAAAATATGGGTTCCCAGAAAAAAAGTTTGGGAAAAACTGGTTTAGAATCACTGACATGAACTACTGCAAATGCTTCTCATACTCAATGGCTTGGTATAGTGTTTCTCAAATGGTGATGCTGTGGCAGGCACTGCAAGGGATGCCTCTCACCCTACAGGACTGTGGGCTGGGGGCGTGGTTTACGGTGCCTATGTTTTGGCGCGCTGAGTTGTTGAAGTTCAGTTGTTCTGTGCTTTTGGAATAAAGAGTAAACTCACTCCCGTCTCCTGCGCTTTCTTCGTTCTGCTACATTGGTGACCCCGAATTGAACATGTACAAAGCTGCAGAGGATCGTGTCTCCTCTTCAGGCATGTCAGCGGAACATTCACAGCCGGTCGCTTTTGCTGCGGCCGTGAAGCTTCCTGAATTTTGGCAGAACGACCCGGCTTCGTGGTTCCAACACGTAGAAGCACTGTTTCACCTGCGTGGAATTACCGTGGACGAACCGAGGTACTACATGGTTGTCGCAACCCTCGACCAACAGTCTACATGCCGGGTCATGCAGTTGTTGCGGTCCCCACCACTACACGGGAAATAAACTTATCTTTATAATATATAATAAATACGACGCTTACGGAGGTACAGTTTGTCTGCCGCGGAGGGGGCAGACAAACTCCTTTCCCTGCCCGGGTTAGGTGACGGCGCAGCTGTGGATCTTATGGACAATATGTTGTCTTTGCTGGGTTCTGACGAAGGTGGTTTCCCTTTTCCGCACATTTTCTTGCGTCAGTTTCCTCCGTCTGTGCGCGCAACATTGGCTAATTCTCCGCATCTGGCCACCGGCGACTACAGGAGCCTAGCTGAGGAGGCTGATCGTGTCTTGTTGGCTACGAGGAGTTTGTCGGTGAGGAGTGTGACAGTGGAACCCATGGAGACAGCGGCGGACTGCGAGGACCCAGCAGTCGTAGCAGAAGTGGTTACGCGCAGACGACGCGGGAAAGGCCTGTGTTTTTTCCACCAGCGGTTTGGCGACAGGGCTAAACGCTGCATCCCGCCATGCCGATTCGAAACGGCGGGAAACGGCAGGTAGCGGCCGTGGGTGCCGGCAATCGTGGTGAGCTGCTTTTTATTAAGGATCTGGACGACGTTTCTTGGTGGACTCAGGTTCACAAAAAAGCCTCCGGAAAAAAAGTCCCCCGGACGACATAGACTTGTCAAACCGAGGCAGCGGCCCACAGCTAAGTGCTGCTAATGGGTCCTCCATCGTGACTTTTGGTGCAAGGTCGGTGTCTGTGTGTTTTCATGGTCGCAGCTTTAAGTGGGATTTTGTTATCGCCTCTATCACAGTCCCCATTATTGGTGCTGATTTTCTGTGCGCTTTTTCTAAGGTAGACCTGGTGCGTGGGTATCACCAGGTACCCGTACGTGCTGAGGACGTGCCCAAGACCGCGGTCATTACCCCTTTTGGACTTTTTGAGTTCTTGCATATGCCTTTTGGCCTGAAGGGGGCAGCGCAAACTTTCCAGAGGCTGATGGACTCGGTGTTACGTGGCCTCGAGTTCGTATTTGTGTATCTGGATGACATTTTAGTTGCCAGTGCGTCCTCAGACGAGCACCTGTCTCATCTGGAACAAGTTTTCCGACGCCTTGACGAACATGGCTTGATCGTCAACACCGCGAAGTGCCAGTTGGGGTTGCTGGTGATTGATTTCTTAGGCCACCGCATTTGGTCGCAAGGTGCGGCCCCTTTACCCTCTAAGGTACAGGCTGTTGCAGAATTCCCGCGCCCGATCTCAGTTAAGGCACTGCTGGAGTTTTTGGGCATGGTTAATTTTTACAACCGGTTCCTGCCTCGGGCTGCACACCTACTGCAGCCACTTTACGAGGCCCTGAGACTCAAGAAAGCCGGCGACCCTGTTGACTGGACCCCCGAGCGGATCCAGGCGTTTGAGGGAGCTAAGGCTGCCCTTGCTAACGCGACACTCCTCGCGCATCCCGTGCCTACGGCTCCCATAGCCCTGACAACTGATGCATCCGACATTGCTGTGGGCGCAGTGGTCGAACAGCGTGTGGCTGGTGTGTGGCAGCCTCTTGCGTTTTTCAGCCACAAGCTTTGAGATAGCGAACGCAAGTACAGTGTTTTTGACCGGGAGTTGTTGGCGTTGTACCTCGCCACCCGCTACTTCCGGTTCCTACTTGAAGGTCACTCTTTCGCTGCGTATGTAGATCATAAGCCGTTAACGTTTGCGATGTCCAAGGTTACTGAGCCATGGTCTGCTCGCCAGCAGCGCCACCTGGCCGCCATTTCAGAGTTTACTACGGACATTGAACACGTGGCTGGTAAGGCCAACCCGGTGGCTGACTGTCTGTCGCGGGTGCTTGTGTGCCCGGTGCATCTCGGGTTGGATTTTCAGTCCATGGCTGCGGATCAGCTTAGCGATCCAGATGTCATAGCCCTCAAGTCTGCGGTTACGGGCCTCAAGTTAGAGAGTGCGGAGGTAATGGCAGGCGGCCCCAAGCTCCTCTGCGACATCTCAATGGGTCGACCACGCCCTGTGGTACCAGCAAACTGGCGTCGCCAGGTTTTCGAGGCAGTTCACTCCCTTCGCACCCGGGAGTCCGGGCGTCGGTCAAGCTGGTGGGGTCCAAGTTTGTGTGGCCTGGGTTCCGCTAAGAGGTTAAGGAGTGGGCAGCTGCCTGTGTTGCATGTCAGCGGGCCAAGGTCCACCGACACACCAAGGCTCCCCTCGAACCTTTTCTAATTCCAAACAGGCGTTTCGACCATGTGCACGTGGATCTAGTGGGCCCTCTCCCGCCTTCACGCGGTTTTACGCATCTGCTTACCATGGTGGATCGTACCACCAGGTGACCAGAGGCAGTACCTCTGTCTCCCACGACATCTACGGATGTGGCACACGTTTCTGTCAGCCTGGGTTTCAAGTTTCGGTACGCCATCAGATATCACATCCGACAAGGGTTCTCAATTTGTGTCCGAATTGTGGTCAGCATTGGCGGTGTCCGTGGGTGTTCAGGTCCACCGTACCACCGCGTACCATCCTCAAGCTAACGGTTTGTGTGAACGTTTTCACCGCTCACTCAAAGCGGCATTGCGGGCGGCGTTGTCCGAGAGTGGTTGGGCGGATCGTTTGCATTGGGTGATGCTCGGTTTGCGTTCGGCCCCCAAAGAGTTTTGTTTGAAAATGGTCTCGCTCCGGGTCCTGTGCACCACTGTTTTCCGAAATCGTTCGTCCCTGCGGAGCTCAAGTCAGCTAGGTTTGTTTTTGTACGTCACGATTCTCACCGCTCTCCCTTACAACCTCCTTATGACGGACCTTTTCGCGTTCCAGAGACAGGCTCTAAGCATTTTGTCCTGGATATGGGTGGACGTAGAGAACGGGTTACGGTAGATAGACTCAAACCAGCACACATGGTAGCAGACGAAGTTATGTTTTCGGCCCAGGTTCCCCGCAGGGGATGCAACCAAATTAAAGATATATTCACCTTGATGTTGCAGGTGATCCCACAAATCTCCTCTCTGTCCTGGTTCACCACCGTGGTGCCGCTCATCCTCGTGCTGTCAGTGACTGCAGCCAAGGATGCCACTGATGACATCGTAAGTCAACCTGGAAAACACACGTACGAATAGACACAGGCATGGGCAAACGAAGGCATGGGCCACCAAACCTTTACAAATTATATAATTTATTTATATTATCATATTATATACTTCTGCCTTTTCACTGCAATTCCCATGTTTCCCCAATACATGGTGTAGAAAATGAATAAAAAGTATTTTAGCATTTTAGTCTTCTACTTTATGCAGGACTTTTACATGTCATTTTTCTTAGTTCACACCAAAGTTCCATCTATCTGCTCCTCACCCGGCCCCGCCGTTCAATTTTAGGACATTTGTGGGCTGCGAGTCAAAAAGTTTGCCCACACCTGGTATAGATTAACCATTTTTATAATTGAACCAGCAGCATTTGAGTTTTTCATACTTTGAGAACCATCGCTGTACAGAGTTCCCATGTTGGTCCAACCTTGGCCAGAGGTTCTTTTCCATTACTTCTATACTTAGTAAATAGATGGAAAAACTTCTATTTTTTTCCGTCCTCGACTGTTTCCCCTCTAATGTTATTGCTCAACAGTTTCATCAGCCACTATTGTGACCAATGTAATAATGGTCTGGTGTTTTACTAAAAACAAGGCGGATAAGTCTTCTTAGGCAACAATGAAAAGAAAAAAAAGAAAAAAAATTCTCTTCGTTTATTCCATCCTGGGAGGAACATTTATTGGACAGGAAACAAACATATGTCATGTCAGAAACAATAAAATTAGCTTTTTACTCAACCTTTTACTCAAGTTGCTCCCTAGACTGTGTGTGTGTCTGTGTTTGTGTGTGTATGTGCATTAAAGCAACAGTAAACCACCAGTTTACTGCGCCGTAGCGTCTGTCGCTCTCAGCAGTGTTTGTCAGTTTTTACAGTCAGGTCAACGAGTTTCAAGGTTAATATGAGTTGACTGGGGGGGTGGGGGAGGGTGAAGTGAAGAGAGGTGAAGCAGCTTACAATGATAGTTAGAAAAAAAACATCTGGAGGTCTGATTCTGTTTTTTACTAAGGATGTTTATTTGTAGGATGTTATAATTCCACTATGTCATTGATAAAACTTCTCTTTCTTCTTTGTCTCTCTCTCCCTCACTCTCTCTCTCTCTCGCTCTCTTCCTCTCATTCCCCTGTGTTTGTGTTTTGCGTGCGGGTCTGTGTTTGTTCTGTTCACAGAATCGTCACCGTAGCGACAACCATGTCAATAACCGCAAGGCTCATGTCCTCATCGATAGAAAGTAAGTTTGTTTGTTTATCTTGTGTGAGCGGTCGCTGACAAACTGCAGCGCTGGGCTGGGACTTGAACACATTCATTTCAGTTGAACAAAACAACGCTTGTTTCCCTAATTAAGGGCACTGTGGTAACACTGAAACAAACTGAAACTGCAAACACTCCCACCCAGTAGGTGGCAGCAATACATAAAAGGTTCATTTGCCAGCCTGAAGAAGATGCATGTGATGTATTGAATACTGCCAGTACGCAAGTTTATTTTTAAAACCCTTGAAATGTAGCAGCTTGGATGAGAGCATTAGTGTTATCTTAGCGCTAGTGCTAACGTTAGCTACAACAACTGTACTAAGAGTTTACAGAATAGATCACTAACAGAACATCAACAACAGTAGAGTATGTAGATACTGTATGTAGTTACAACAGCAGGAGACATGATCGGTTCGGTTCACCACAGTTGCTTCCTGCAGAGATCCTGGACATAGTTTAGATCAGTGTTTCCCAAACTTTTTTTCTGGGGACCCATATTTCAAAAGTCACAAACCTTCATGACCCAGATAAATGGACATTATTCGTAAACTCCTGGGAAACATGATGCGAGACGGCCAAAAAATATATCTTGCGACCCACATGACGAATCAATTAATTCCTTAAATATTCTAGTATATTTTTGTTTTGTTATATCTATTGTATATTTAAGTTTTTTTCCCAGTCTTTGGGAAACAATGGTTTAGATTATTCTGAATGCAAGGAAGAAACTGATGACACGTTTGAAAACCCTAACTGGAAACACATGGTGGATCTAGATAATCCAGTCAAGTGACGGCTGCCCCTGCCCATAAATCGTTCAGATACAGGCTGTGGTGCTTCAGTGCTCAGTGTTTCATATTATCTTTATTTATTCTCAAATACCTGAAATCAGTTTGAGTGTATTTATATTTCAAATGTCATTTCTACACTTTTTCTTTTTTTTTTCTCCTTCCAGACTACGAAATGAGAAGTGGATGGACGTCCAGGTGGGAGACATTATTAAACTGGAGAATAACCAGTTTGTCACTGTGAGTTAAAGGATTCATAATAAAAAATGATGTATAATAAATCAGCACTAATATATGTATATACATGTTTATATATGTATACATATATGTATGTATATATGTTCACATCTAGTTATATATGTATGTATATATGCATACATATATATTTATATATGTATGTAAATATATATGTATGTATAGAATATATATATTTACATGTTAATATATACATTATGTACAGGTGTGACTGATAAATTATTTTCTCATTTCAGGCCGATTTACTGTTGCTCTCCAGCAGTGAACCACTCAACCTGGTTTACATCGAGACAGCAGAGCTTGATGGGTTAGTTGTTTTTTTTTTTTACACACATACAGTATATAAAATATAAATATAAACTAACCCTCTTTTTTATTTATTGATGACCTTGTCTTGGTTATTTTCTCCTCCTTCCTCCCATAGAGAGACAAACCTGAAAGTGAGGCAGGCTCTAACAGTGACAGGAGACCTCGGGGACAACGTGGAAAAACTGGCGGACTTCAGTGGTACAGAACGGTTTGTGCTCTGTCAGATGTTTAAGTCTGCATACCTTCTTACATCTGTTGTTTCTTCACCAAGGTGAGGTTTGCTGTGAGCCTCCGAACAATCGCCTCGACCGCTTTACAGGAACACTAACGGTAGCTGGCCAGAAATACCCACTGGACAATGAGAAGATCCTGCTGCGTGGTTGCACACTGAGGAACACCGAGTGGTGCTTTGGACTGGTGCTGTTCGGAGGTTAGTGTCCGAGTGTAACCGAAACCTTGAGTCATTTGTTGGGATTTAATGGTGTCTTTGATGCTGTTTCTCCTGAAGGTCCAGAGACGAAGCTCATGCAAAACTGTGGGAAGAGCACATTCAAAAGGACGAGTATCGACCGTCTGATGAATGTCCTCGTCCTCTGTGTGAGCTCCTTGTAACATTTGTTCATCATCCACCCTCAACACTTAGATAATGCTTAAAATGTGTTACTTTTAATTTGTCATTCAAACTCTGGTGGGTATTTAGGTTGTGAAATTTAAAATAATTATGAAAATTATAAATATACCTGAACATTATTGCATACACAAAAAATTACATAAAAAAATAAGGCAAGCGAAGAGAGAGCAAACCACGACCCCTGCTGGGGAAGCAAGGTATTGTGCTGTAATTCAAATTCATAAACATTTACGTGCATATACATTATTATTGCAATAACTGACAACCCCACAGTTATGGACAAGAAAATAAATGAATTAAAGACATATTTAAATATTTATTTCACAGTTTAAAAAATATATATAAATGTTTTAATTACTTTTTTTATTTTTTTATATTTATATTATACATACATAGTTTAATTGGAAATTTGTTATTATGCACAGCTGGTCATAAGGACCATTTCTGACCAATTTTGTTAATATTCTTGAACACATTATTATAACTGTTGTTCATATGCACAATTACATTTTGTTTTTGGTTTTGCAGATTTTTGGCTTCCTGGCCTTCATGTGCACCATCTTGGCCATAGGAAACTGGTTTTGGGAAACAAACGAAGGCTCCCAGTTCACAGTTTTTCTGCCGAGGCAGGAGGGCATCGACACAGGATTCTCTGCCTTCCTCACATTCTGGTCCTACGTCATCATCCTCAACACAGTGGTACCCATCTCTCTCTACGTTAGGTCAGGAGTTAAATTATTGAAATGATTGAAATAGACTTTAAATTCAAAATGTTTAAATTTATAGGATTGACCGAAATTTGATCTTTTTGTTTTGTTTTGGCAGTGTGGAGATTATTCGCCTGGGAAACAGTTTTTACATCGACTGGGACCGAAAAATGTATTACAATCGCAACGACACGCCAGCAGAAGCTCGTACCACTACTCTGAACGAGGAGCTGGGCCAAATTAAATACGTCTTCAGTGACAAGACAGGGACGCTGACGCAGAACATCATGACCTTCAACAAGTGCTCCATCAATGGCAAATCCTACGGTAGGATTCAGGGCATGATACTGTAGTAACTGTAGTAACTGTTTCATAGTGACTTCTTTTTACTTAAATCAACCACAGAGTTTTTGGATTTGACTGAAATAAGTCAGAAGGGAATCTAAAATTCAATCACAATTTTTTTAAAATTTCATTAATCACACGATATTATTATTATGACAGTTTTATCACTTTTTTCACTAATTTCTGCAGGTGACGTCTATGACTACACTGGTCAAAGACTAGAGATTACTGAGGTGAGGCGTAGTTACTTCATTTGATTACCATTAGGGATGTTGAAAATCCTCAAATAAAAAATCTCAAGGATCATCTATGGACGTGATTTTTTAAAAATTAAAGTTGTTTTTTTAATCATCTTTTTAGAAAACGGAAAGGGTGGACTTTTCTTTCAATCCTCTGGCTGATCCCCGCTTCGTGTTTCACGACCACTCCCTGGTGGAAGCGGTGAAGCTGGAGAACCCAGAGGTCCAGCTCTTCTTCAGGTTGCTGGCCCTCTGCCACACCGTGATGGCTGAGGAGAAGACGGAAGGTCAGTGGGTGTGTGTGAGATGGTTTCTCCTAGTGCAGTGGTTCTCAAACGGTGGTGGTACGCGAGCGCTCTCTAGTGGTACGCGGGGAAAATTCACATTTTAACATTTTCAATTCAATAAATCTGAAACATACCATGCACAATTAATACAGCATTTAAGCATAAACATCTTTCTAAACATTTCTAAACATCTCTCCTGTGGTGGAAGCTAACAGTGAAGGCCTACGCTGCTATATTCTAATGTTGGTCATCATGGTGGTACTCAGAGAGATCAGTGTTTTCTCAGGTGGTACAGAGTAGAAAAAGTTGGAGAACCACTTTCCTATTGTATTTATGTATTTCACTGTTCGCTATAGTGAATATATACAGTATATGGGTCATGTTTTTACTACAGTCATACATGTATAACTGATCTTGTGATTCTTCACTTTTTTCCCCACACATAAACCATTAAATTATTATTAAATTATTCGTTAAAGAATCCTAGATGCAGATTTTCATACATTTTAACCATAGAAGGAAAAAGAAAAAAAAATTCACTAAGCTTCACTAGAATGTTCTTTTCGTCCCTCCAGGTGAGCTCCACTACCAGGCCCAGTCCCCAGACGAGGGAGCCTTGGTAACCGCAGCCAGAAACTTTGGTTTTGTGTTCCGCTCTCGTACACCAGACAGTGTCTCCATTGTGGAAATGGGACAGCAGTGCAGTTACGAACTCCTGGCCATCTTGGATTTCAACAACGTCCGCAAGAGGATGTCTGTCATAGGTACATGATACCCCGTCTGGCCACTTTAGTGGGGGTCTCCCCTATAGACCTCTTGTACCTGAAACCAGATATCCTAGTTCTGTCTGGGCCTCGAAGAATACTAGAGTATGAACTGTATTTAGATCAGTAGTTCTCAAATAGTGGGGAGAGCCCCTTGGGGGGCGGGGGGGAGGGTGAGGTGCTGGGGGTTGTGAGGGGCTTCTAATGGAATATGGTACGCTGGACATAAGTGTACCACTGCTGTAATCCTTGAATGATAACAAGCCTCCAGTCACTAGGTGGCAGCAACTCATAAAACTCATACGGCCCAGAGGATGCCACTAGGCAGCAACTCGTACAGATATCCCAGTTCTGTCTGGGCCTCGAAGAATACCAGAGTACGAATTGTATTTAGATCAGTAGTTCTCAAATAGTGGGGAGAGCCCCTTGGGGGGCGGGGGGGAGGGTGAGGTGCTGGGGGTTGTGAGGGGCTTCTAATGGAATATGGTACGCTGGACATAAGTGTACCACTGCTGTAATCCTTGAACAAGCCTCTAGCCACTAGATGGCAGCAACTTACACAGTGGTTTGTACAGTTAAAAATATACGTTATCAGGTTCTCAATAGTATTTCAATTGGCTGTGGTGTGGGTCGGAGGGGTGGGGGCATAAAAACATTTCTGTCAACAAGGGGGGGGGGCATGACAGAAAATAATTGAGAACTACTTATTTCAATATTTTAGATCATGACAAAGTGTGTCTGTTTTGTGTCTGCAGTTCGTAGTCCAGACGGGAAACTCTCACTCTACTGTAAAGGTGCTGACACCATCATTTATGAGCGGCTGCATCAGTCCTGCAGCAAACTGATGGACGTAACAACAGAGCACCTCAATGTGAGTCAATGCACCAACTCTTCTCTATCTGCATCTAGAATTTAGCATGAGAAAAAAAATCATAAATATCACAATATCAGATCAGTAAACTCATCAAATTCAGTCGAAAGATTAAATATGTGAAGTCTGTGAAATTATTTATATTGAGTTATTGACTGCCCCGCTAACACATGTGAGTCTGTGCCTGTCGTTTTGCAGGAGTTCGCAGGTGAAGGTCTGAGAACGCTGGCGCTGGCTTACAAGGATCTGGATGAGGGCTATTTTAATGAGTGGAAGCAGCGCCACCATGAGGCTAGCACCACCTTGGAGGACCGGGAGTATAAACTGGATGAGCTATATGAGGAAATAGAGAAAGACCTGCTGGTAGGAATTCATGTTCATTATTATTATTATTATTATTATTATTATTATTATTATTATTATTATTATTATTATTATTATTATTATTATTATTATTATTATAATTAAAGGGATCATGATGACGACAATTATTATAATTAGGGATGTACAATGTTAACTAACCGATATCTGATATGCCAATATTGTTCAAACCCTTAATTTGCTATTCTGATAGCAACCGATACCGATATAGGCCTGGTAATATTTATTTATTTATTAGTACAATATGAGCTAAAATGCTGCCATCTAGTGACTTTTACATTCACATACAGCCTTTTATCACCAAAACTTCTTTTTAGGGCACGCATTATTTGGCATTCATTCCTCGGGTTTTCATTATCGCAGGAAAAAACGATAAAGATTCCTACAGATATTACATAATTATGCTAACATAGGCCCGCCGATTTTATCGGACATCCCTGATTATAATGATCTTGACGATAGAGATGGCGATGATGATGATGATGATGATGATGATGATGATGACGATGATGATGATGACTTTCAGCTACTCGGTGCCACAGCCATAGAGGACAAGTTACAAGATGGAGTCCCTCAGACGATAGAGCAGCTGTCCAAAGCTGACATCAAGGTCTGGGTTTTAACCGGTGACAAACAAGGTACATGACTGGGAAAAAAAAGTGTAATTTCAAGCCCTTAAAACTTAGAGAGTTTTTGACTTGCTTATTTTATTATTTGCACCAGAGACGGCAGAAAACATCGGTTACTCATGTAATCTGCTGAGAGAAGAGATGAATGAGATCTTCATCATCGCAGGAAACTCACCCGAGGACGTCAGAGAGGAACTGAGGTCAGAGCGAGGGGCAAAAGAAAAAAGCCAGATGCTGATTGAACTCTTCCATGTATGCAGGGTTTCTAAAATGTTGTATTTTCTCATGAAAACAGAAATGCACGGACCTCCATGAAACCAGATTCAGCAGAAACTGTGTTTCTGCCAGAGAGGTCTTTGGTTAACGGGGTTCAGGCTCTGACAGATGAGGAGGTGAATGGAGAGTACGGCCTGGTCATCAACGGCCACAGTCTGGTAGGAGACGCTTGTGGCATTTGTCACTCGGAAACATTTTAAATTACATTTCTCAGAAAACCGACCAGCACCACCTGTTTTTTTCCTGCTCTCATCTGCCTCTCATTTCTCTGAAGGCGTATGCACTTGAGCACAGCATGGAGCTCGAGTTCCTGAGGACGGCGTGCATGTGTAAAGCAGTGATTTGCTGCCGAGTCACTCCGCTGCAAAAGGCTCAAGTGGTGGAGCTGGTCAAAAAGTACAAGAACGCAGTCACGCTGGCCATAGGGGACGGAGCCAACGACGTCAGCATGATTAAAGGTACCGCCAGATACAGTAGATACTAACAAACGCTTGAAGTTCTCCTGTCGTGCAAAATCTCGTTTTCGTTTTATGAAAAAAATAAAACACCAATCCCAGAACCCTGCAGAAAAGAGCTTTCGCACTATGTAAAATGTAGGGTGGCTTCTAGTGGTTAATAACGGTACTGCAAGTCAGACATTAACAAAACTTAAAATACTTCAAGATATTTACATTACACAAATCATTATTTTTTTACTAAACTCAATAAAGACAAGAAAGAAATATAGGGTCGAACTTCAGATTAAAAAAAATGTAATTAAATTTTGCGTTGATTTAATTCATATTTACTAAGTTATGTTTCTGTCCTGTCTGTGTTCACAGTGGCCCACATCGGTGTGGGCATCTCAGGTCAGGAGGGAATGCAGGCTGTGCTCTCCAGTGACTTTTCCTTTGCCCAATTCCGATTCCTACAGCGCCTCTTGCTGGTGCACGGACGCTGGTCTTATCTGCGCATGTGCAAGTTCCTGCGCTATTTCTTTTACAAGAATTTCACCTTCACCTTTGTCCATTTCTGGTATGCCTTCTTCTGCGGCTTTTCTGCACAGGTGAGAGAATAAGAGAGAGAATAAAGAAATCTCTGCCACCGGATTAAATTTGACAGGCTTTTGCAAAACTATTTCAACCACTTACAATTAAATTCAATGCCAACTGCGATAACAGTGTATAGGATGAATCAAAGCATCAGTAGGGGTTAAACTGATTTTTAATTTGAACAATATTTGATCTAAATAATTATCTAAATAAAATTCTGAATAATGATCAAAGAGCATTTATTCAACTTTTTATGATTTTTTATTTTGTATGTTTTCAGACGGTGTACGACGAATGGTTTATAACACTCTACAATCTTGTATACACTGCACTTCCTGTATTGGGAATGAGTCTATTTGACCAGGTAATATGATAGTTAAATAATATTTTTTTATTGTTTAATAATTGTATGAAATATGTTGTATTGATATTATTATTATTAAAAATAAAATAATCAACCTGTTCAACCTTAATCAGAAATTCAGGTGTTAGGGTTAGATAATGTTAATGTTACAGCCTTAAGGAAAATATTCAGTACCAAGTGATCATAAGCTAATAAGGAGAAGAACATTGGGGCTAAGGTAACAAAAACTTCAAAACTTTCTGTTCCACCTGCTGGCTAGGACGTGAATGACGTGTGGAGTTTCCAGCATCCTCAGCTTTATGTTCCTGGTCAACTCAACCTCTACTTTAGCAAAAAATCCTTCTTCAAGTGTGCGCTCCACAGCTGCTACAGCTCCCTGGTGCTGTTCTTCATCCCCTACGCGGCCATGCACGACACCGTGAGGAATGATGGGAAGGATGTGGCCGACTACCAGTCCTTCGCTCTCCTGACACAGACGTGTCTGCTGTTTGCAGTCACCATCCAGGTTTGAGGACGCTGCGTCTTTACATGTACGGACACGTTTGTGTGTGTGCTGATATTTGAATGTTCTCTGTGTCCACAGTTAGGGCTGGAGATGTCTTATTGGACGGCGGTCAACACGTTCTTCATCCTGGGCAGCCTGGCCATGTACTTTGTCGTCACCTTCACCATGTACAGTAACGGCATGTTTCTTGTGCTGCCCGCAGCCTTCCCCTTCATAGGTGAGTGAAGGAGGGAGTGAGTGAGTGAGGAGTGATTTTTTTTATCCTAATGGTTCTTCAACTTTTATACTCTGGACCACCTGAGAAAACCTTGATCTCTCTGAGTACCACCATGATGACCAACATTAGAATATAGCAGCATAGGCCTTCACCATCAGCTTCCACCACAGGAGAGATGTTTAGAAATGTTTAGAAAGATGTTTATGTTTATGTTTAAATGTTGTATTCATTGTTCATGGTATGTTTCAGATTTATTCAATTGAAAACTAAATGTGAAAATATGAACTACCCCCACAAGAGTTTGAGAAACACTGTCCTATTCTATTCTATTTTGGTAGATTTTTTTTAATCCACATTCATACATGTAACCACACTTTTTTTTGCAGGAACAGCTCGGAACTCTTTGAACCAGTCAAATGTTTGGCTGACGATTTTTCTCACCTCGACTCTGTGCGTCCTCCCTGTGGTCACCTACCGCTTCCTGTTGATCCAGCTCTCCCCCACCATCAACGACAAGGTATCACTCCACCTTGGAATGTGTTGCAGCAAATGATTTTTCATTAATTAATCAATTTAAAATTAAACTTGTTTTCTTTGATCACTCATATATGTCCTCCTTATTCCTTATCTGTGTTATACTATGGATTTCCACAATCGTCATGTGACCTTCCGTCCCAACATATTGCACTGTATTTGCTAACATTATTATATATATTTTTATGTACACATATATAAATATATGTATATATGTATACATATATAAATATTTTTATATGTAAACATATATAAATATATGTACACATATATAGATATATGTATACATATATATGTATACATATCTAAAAACACATGTATTTTTACTGTATATATGTTTATATTTCTTTCACAGTAAATATAATTCGACAATATTAACACTGCTGGTTGAGTTTTTTTTTTATATTTTCCCTCTTTTCTACAAACTTTTTAAGGTCATGTTCAAGGTGAGACAGGCCAGAGCAACTCCTCCTCCACCACCTCAACGACGCCGCATCCGCCGCACCAGCTCACGTCGTTCAGGCTACGCCTTCTCACACGCACAGGGCTACGGAGACCTGGTGACATCAGGCCGCTTCCTGCGGCGTCCTGCTGTGTCACGATCTACAGGTTTTCCCGGCATGGGTCGCACCACCTCGGGCTTCAGCCCAATGGGTCGATCAGCTGGATACAGCCCAACCGAGCGTCCGCTGAATTCTAAAGTTCCACATGTGGAAGTGACATCACTTCAGATGTACAGGACAATCAGAGATCCCGCCCTCTGACAGACAGACAGCTGACTCAGCGATGACATTAGAACTGGATGTCTTTTTTATTTCCATATTTTCCAAGACAAGTTTTCACATTTAGAACAAAAAGCAGAAAACTAAAGAACAATGTATCACAGCCTCTGATGGTGTTAGCATGACTGTCCCTGTGTCCTGGGAGACAAAATGACACTAGACAACTTTAGAGGGTCGACTTTCAAGGTGTTGTCATGTTTACAAACAGCTTTAAATCAAACCTAAATAATAACTTTTAAGAAACAGAACATTTTCATTTTTTTGTACCTTAAGTGTCCTTATTTTAAAACCTTTTATTTTTCGTAATTGCACTTTGACAGTGACACGTGACAACATATGTGTCTTTTCCATTGTCAGTAATGAAGGAGATGAAAACCAACCGGTCCAGCTTAGTGGGAACGACCGACTTATGTATAAAAGAAGATTTTTACTCAAGCTGTATGTTTGATTTCTCAGTTTCTCCTTTGCTGGAAGACTTTGTGTAGAATGACATAGTGGAAGAAAATTACATATCTGCTCAATGTATGTATGGGAAAAAAACAATGCATTGGGTTTATACAGTACAAACAAGACAGGGATTTTTTCTAGTAGTAAGGTGTGAAATTATGTACTTTATGTTTTTTATGTGTTCATTTTGACATCCTATGATTGGTTTAAAATGGCTTTTTAACCTCCTCTTAAAATGTTTTATTTACAAAAGAATATTTCCTAATGATGCTGCTCACAATGATTTAAGAGTTGACTCTTGAAAAAATATAAGTGCTTACAATTTTCATCTGGGTCCTACTGCAACCATGTTTTGGATACATGTGAGCAGATACGCAGTAGGAAAATGATAACACACTATGCAACAGTTGCCCCTGTCTGTCTGGGTACGTTTGGATCAGGGTAGGTGAGAAGAGACCAAACTGGACCTTTGCAGGCATAGGTTTTGAAAAAAACATTTCTTTCTTTACATGCTTTTACTTTGGTCTCAAAAGATAACGTTTCACGATGGTCATTTAAAGCTATGCATATGATTATTACCCATCTCAACATGTCTCTAATTTTTCAGTGTGAACCATTTATATAGATGAGGTTACCTTTTAGCTGAGAGTATAAGGAAAAACAATCACATGAACCAAAGTCTATGTAAATATATGCTGTATAAGGACAGTAAATATTTTACTCTTAAATTTGTTAGCATCATTAGTCAAACACAATGTCACTTGACTCACTATATTATCATTTTAATGTTCAAAAAATGCCTCGTTTTTTAGTTTAAATTATTGTTGAATGTCTACGTTCAGCACATAACAACACAACATTATAGATTAACATGTATGCATGCTATACATTTAAAGACCCTTTATTATACTATAACATAGGAAAACAAGAGCTTTGACTTTTGAACTTTATTTTAATGCTGTATTCCACTGGTGATGGCCATAAATATTTGAGAACGTCTTTGACATTGTGTTTGATGATAGAAAAATGATTTTTTTTTAAACAACTAGTTTGGTTCTTTCTTAAAAGTTCTGATAGTTTTAAAAAGAAACAGAAGATAGTGAAGAATAATCAATATATTTACATTAAGTGAAATTCATCTGTTATTTATTATTGGGTTATAAGCGTATTTCTTTTCTCTTTTTTTTTGCCCATATCTACCTTATCCCAAAACAAATTTGTCACTACATACTGTGTACAACACCTAATTATGTTAAATCATTTGTAAATTTGGCAGCCAATTAATCTCTTAAATATGTCAGGCCTAATTGTTTAAATTAGATTATGTCGTAAAACAAAATAAAAAAGGCAACAAAACATACTGTATGTAAGGAGTGTGAATTGAACATTTGGAAATGTACAGTTTGTTTGTAATAGTTTTCTCTCAAATCCAGTCATCTGTTTAATTTTCTCCACATTTCAACATTCCAATCTCTTGTAATGACTTGTCACCTTTTTCTATTGTCAAAACATATTGTTAACAGTTTCACAAGTTTCGAAGAACATGTGTGCGGAGTATTCCCAGTATTTCTACAGTACATTTCCAGTACCACTTCAAAAGTTTTGATAAACCAATATTTATGTTGTATACTCAGTATGGCCTTTAACTTTGGAAACCATAACTTTTCCATAACTATCACTGATAAAGAAATATTTTTTGTAATGCGCCAATAAATATTTGAAACTGTTCTAATCGTTTGTATGAGTTCCTGTTTTCGAATATTATAAAAATATCGTTTGTCGTTTCATTTGAAACGCAGTTCGCTTGTGCACTGTTTTACACAGTCTTGACACAAAACATAACCAAACAGTAGGGGTGGGCGGATCGATCCAAATATCGATATTATCGATACTAAGCAAGTACTTGGATCGGATCGATACTATTGTCCTGGGATCGATACTTCGCTCCTCCACCAATTTCCTCAAAGCGCCGCTTCTCTGCGCCCCCTGCTACTCTCTGAGTCTCTGCCTGAGTGAGTGACTCAGGCACACTTTTAGCTCCTCCCCCTACCTGGCCACTGACCCGCTGCATCCTTTGTCATGTTACTGTTCCTGAACAAAAACCTGTAAATCCGTTGTCACTATGGCAACAGAGCCAAAAGGGATTCTTCCTTGGAGCAGAGAGCCAAAGGCTGGGAATGAGCCAATTGTGTTTACACTTCAAATCACATAACAATATCACAATAAAAACATTGTGCAATGGGAGGTATTTTAGTTGTCATCTTGACATTGTTATATTTGTATTTTCGTTACAGTGCTGCTTTTTTTGGTTTGACTCTCTTGACTTTTGTTCTGAAACAGTTGTTGTAGTAGAAGTTTTTTTATATATTGTTAAAGTTTGCATTGTAGTTATTTAATAAAAAATAATTGTGCTATGTTTATCATAATTATAATAAACTAACTGGGGGAGGGGGGTCAATTATTCAATGATCATGACATTTCCAATTTTTTACTTGGTATCGGATCGATACCAAAATTCCCAGTATCGCCCATCCCTACCAAACAGACGTACCGGAAGTCCATACTAACGGAAATTCCCTAAATCCCGCCAAAGTCAGTAACATCGTCCAGAAGAAAGGAAGTTCGCAGTAGTGATGTGCGGATCGATCCTGAAATATCGATACTTCAGATTCTGGATCTTTATGCTCTGAAATCGATTCTGAAATCAAAATATCGATACTTTTGATACTTACGCATTCTGAGATGAGGTGTATCCTAAACAGAAACATGGTGAAAAGTATCCAAATGATTGAGATGTTGTCTAAGTGACGCTCGGTTGGTGGGACTACTTCTTCTTCCGCCTGGGTGTATGCGTCATGCGTAAGCACAGGGACTCTACTCCATGCTCTCACTCTTTCGGCTCTTTTTTAGAGAACCGGTTCTTTTGACTCGGTTCACTGAAAAAATCCGACTCTTTCGGGTCCCAAATGGCTCCTCAGATTGTTTATTTTATTCTTATTTATTTATTTTTGTTTTACAAATAACATGTTTTCAGAGTTTGAAACATAGTTTTGACATATTTTATATGATTGTGTTCTCAGGTTTTTCTATTGTTGTGTTGACTGTATAGTAAATGAGGCAGCTACCTCAGTACACTCCAGAGTTTAAAATAAATAAATAAATAAAAAACTCTGCCTTGGATTTTTAAAGAAGCTATCATTTGAAATACACTTTTTTTTTATTTAAAAGACAAATAATAAAATATCGGTATCGATATCGGTATCGGCGATGCCAGCCCGAATTTTACTCGGTATCGGATCGTAAAGGAAATTGGTGGTATCGAACATCACTAGTTCGCAGTCGAGTGAAGGAGACCGTGCGTATTTTTCGTGTTTGCTAATCACGCTGATTGGTGAGTTTTGTCAAGTGGACCTATCAGCTCTCGGTGTGGGCATTGTTTTATCTGTTTCCACCCGGAAAGAATGACTCGAATGTGTTGAGTCTCTGGCAGGAGGTGGGCGTGTCTTGGAAACGTTAGAGTGGACTTAAAATATTAATTTATGACACGGAAGTTTTTCTAATGAATAAAAAAAAAGTTATTTTGTTGTTGTTGTATACTAGTGATTTAAGCAGTATCCTTGTCAAGTCGAACAATCTCAGGAAAGTTGAGGTGAGCATAAAACTTCCATGTTCTAGTTAATGGTAGGCAGCGAGTTGCTGTTTAGACATTGAGTTTAGTTTTATGGTCACTATACTCGCATGCCTAAGATGAAGCAGGTCCAACCTTTAAAGGTCAACTACACTAAAATCGTTACCATTGAGTCTTACACTTTATACAAGTAAGCAGACCAAATTCAAGAATTTGGTTAGTAGCAAAGTTGCTTTAGCAGGTTCATTCTGGAACATTGGAGAATTTTAATTTAGTCTTACCTAAACTATCAGAGTTTGTCGTTACCAAAATGTTGGTTTTGATACTAAAATGTAATAAACGTGCGTGCCAGGGAAGTGGACTTGGGATGAATGCCAAAATGTGTTGAATGTTGTGTACACAAAGAGGGCCGAGAAACAGTCACATCAATTTACCATAAGCAATTCATTTTTTTAATGGCTTGGAGGTTTATGCTAAGTAGTCCAACAGAAATACCACCACCTGAAATAAAGAAAACACAGTGATTAACTTTGTTTTAGAGTAGCACAAGTCCATGTACTGTGCTATACTTACCCGAGCATATTTGGGATGATAGTGAAGTCGAGTATATACAGGTACTTGTCAAAATTGTGACACCAGTGCAGGGGTGGGCAAACTGCTCCACATAGGGTAACTGTGGCTGTATTTTTTCCAACCTACCCAGAGCATGTTGATTGACCAATCAGCTGTCTGGAGACTCAGATCAGTTGATTAAATGAGCCAAGTCAGGTGTGCTGCTGCTTGGTTGGACAGAAACCTGCAGCCCTTTGTGGTACAGATTGCCCACCCCTGCCCTACAGGATAGTATCCTCATTACAACACTGCTTTTACTATAAGTTTAATGAGGCACTGTAGTAAAGATTTAATGGCACTTGTAGGTGCAATGGGTCGAGTGCTGCTTAGGAGCACTCTGTGTTATTAACCAGTCTCAAATTAATAACACGATCAGTCTCATTAAAGTTATCTTTAATTATTATGTTGTTCTACTAATATAGCAATAATGTATTACTTGAAGTATTACAAATATACTATAATCAATAGTATTAAATAACAATTTGTTGGTGCCGAACATTACGTTATTCAGTCACCACTATTGTCATCTAACTGCCACAGATAGAATGACCTGAAAAGAACCACACCTGACAACGTTGTACGTTTTACTCGCTGTGAGGGGGAGCAGAGAGAGCAACAGCTTCGCAGAGCTGGCTCACCTAAGTCCCAAAGTGTATGAGGACTGCAGCTCCGTTTATTGAGAAAGTTACATAAGTACTGAGCAGTTGTTTTTTTTTCTTTACGTTTTACTCTTAGGGCAAAGTTCACACGATTCCCATACTTGATGAGAAACAGACCTCATCCTTTGTGGACCACATCGTAAAACATTTCTAGGATTACCTACTCCTGACAAGCAGACTATGATTTAACACACTTTGATTTAACACACTAAGATAACAGATTATGGTTTAACACACTTTGGTAACTAACTATAAATTCTATTTACACAATTAAATATAAGGATTTTTCCAGAATTCTTGACAAATTGGGTGGCTTCAATGAATAAAGTAACAACACAGACAAACACAGTTTACAAAATAATCAAATTTATTAACAACCCTATCACGTTAATGATAGTACTTGATACATAAACTAAACAAGGCACATAAGTGTGTGTGTGTACACACGAGTGGTCGTGTAAGAGAGAGAAAGAGAGCGAGAAGTTACCTCTTAGCTATCAAGCAAGCGACTGAGCCCTGGAGGCTGCGCAGTGGAAGAAGAAGTGTGAGGTGGAAGGGACCGCAACAGGAATCACGTGAAGTGTGTATGCACTCACGGAGGTGTGAAAGGGTGTTGTGTACGTGCACCAAGATGCGCTCATGTACAATGAAACAGTGCTTGTGATGTTATCAAAGTATATGGCCGCATGGTCTACTCAAGACTAGGGACTTTGTCGGAGTTTTCCTGATCCCAATACTTATAATGTTACAAGTTAACACTGAAATACTGACGGTGTACAAGAGTATAACACCGAGTAAGGAGGTTAGAAAAGAAGTGTATGCAACAGCCTAGCTATAAAAGCAGCACAGATTTCGGACAACACAATTCAATAACACTTCAATGTGTGCACTTAAACTGTCCCTAAGTTTAAATAGCACTTAACAATACTACAGATTAACTAACGTGCCCAAATGCCAGCCTTACTGTAGTGAACTCATATTTAGAAAGTAGTGGAAAGTCCGCACTTCTTGGGTCCTTGCCAGAGTTGGGGACGTCCGTCTGATTCCACTGTGTGCAGAGAGTCCTCTTGGTTCCGAAAGTCCGCTTCCTGAGGAAAAGTCTGATTGTCGATGTGCCGGTTCACACGATTTCCTCACTTGTGATCACATTCCCCTCTCTGTCCTTAATCAACCTCACCTGCTGCACATCCTTCCTAGCTTGATTTCTCTGTCTCGCCAATCTATACAACTCATTTTCTCCTTCCTTTGTGTCCAAAGTCTCATACAACTCCTCATATGCCTTTTGTTTGGCCTTGACCACTTCCCTCTTCACCTCGCTTGTCCTCTCTTTGTACTCCAGTCTGTTCTCTCCCCTCTGTCACTGTCCCATCTCTTCTTCACTAACCTCTTTCTCTGCACACTCTCCTGGATCTCCTCATTCCACCACCAGGTCTCTTTGTCCTCCTTTCTCTGCCCAGAGGACATACCTAGCACCTTCCTACCTGTCTCCCTAATCACTGCAGCTGTAGTCTCCCAATCATCTGGGAATATCTCAACACTACCCAGAACTGCCCCTATTTCCTTCCTGAAGTCTTCACAACTCTTCTCTCGTCTCTTTCCTTAATTTCACCACTTGATCTTTTGCTCTGTCTTCACTCTCTTCGTTTTTTTCACGTCCATCGTCATTTTGCACACTACCATCCGATGTTGTTTGGCTACACTCTCACCTGCCACCACCTTACAGTCTCTAATCTCCCTTAGATTACATCTTCTACACAGAATATAATCTATCTGTGTGGACCTGCCTCCACTCTTGTAAGTCACCCTGTGTTCCTCTTTCTTTTGGAAATAGGT